GCCGTTGGCCCGTCCGGGTTAAGGGGGTTCCGGAACTTCTGCACCACGACCTGTTGGCTGTGCTGAATGTGGATGGTGAGCTCTGCGGACGCGAGGTGCCACTGGGGCGTGTCAAAGGACTGGACCATGACACGTAGGCCGAGAAACATAGCTGCCCTGGCAGTGCGGTGTGGACTTACAAAGAGCTTATGCTCGACCTGGGAGAGCACTGCGGCGCACCAGGATTTGCTAACCGACGCCAGTGAAAGGGCTGTCAGCAAGTCTGGCTGCGGTATCGCTAGTCTGACATGGACGCCCTGCTGGTCATAGTCAGTGTCTACGTACCGTTGCGCAAAGACAGCTAGGCCTTTATGTAAACGGCGAAAGGCCCAGAGGCGTGCTTGGTCCTGGATCTCGTTCCGGAGCAGCAGTATGGGAACGAGAGTGCTGGGGGGTCTGTATGCAGCGATTTCAGTTTCCAGCATGTCCCTGTCCAAACCGTAGTCCGAATAGAAATCCACAACCACCACTGCAGGAATGATGAAGGAGAGAGCGCGGCGACATGATTCGGTGCAGAGAGGGGATGACATCCTCTATGGTTGGCAGGGCAGCTGAGAGCAACCTAGAAAAAACTGCGGAGAAACTTACTTAAAAGCGCAACAGTGAGCTGCAACGCTGAGGGGCAACGCTGATCGGATTTGCCTTTTCCAAAGTAGAGAAGCCCGGCGCGTCGCATGGTCTGTGACCAATTGTCTGGAGGCTGTGCCCTCTGCCCTATAGAGGACGTCGCAAGACTGAGGTCGGAATGAAGTGCACCTGCTCATAGTGGACGCTGATGGCCTCTCTCGAAAGGGTGCCGGCTTGATCCGGCAGTACTTCAATGAAAACTCCTGCTCCTTGCTTCCGCAGTTGGATGTAGGCTCTCCACACTCCTATCCAGGGTTTGCCGTCGATGAGGCGGGCAGTTTCGGAGTACCACGCACGGCAAACCGCCGCAAGCGGTATTGCTTGTAGCAGATTGAGATTGACGATGCCGAGCTGAGCATGTACTCCATTGTGGTCAATCCTGAGTGTGTCGCCGATAATGGAGTACTGCGAGAAGGGACCCGTACGAGCCCAACGTAGAAGTAGGTCACGTAGGCGATCCCGAGTGGCACGAGCTTCATCATGAAGCAGGTCCAGATCGTTCCAGTAGGAGGCGGGATAGGGCGAGGCGTCGTAGGAGTCAAGTGTTAGTACCCCTGGGAGCAGGTATTTCATAGCTTGGCGCAGAGAGAGCTCGTCCATGGCAGTTAGGAGACTCTTGGAGCTAGCTGACAGAAACTGGCAGGCAGCAGGGGACGTGCCGAGAGGTAGCTCAACTCAAAGTGCACGCACTACTAACTCTGGCTGGTGCGGAGGATGCCCAGTTTTCAAGCCGAGAGCAGAGGTGCTAGCTTCAAAAAGTGAAAAATGGCTCAGTTAGGCCTGTTGCTCGGCCGTCTCACAAGCCAATGTCTCGGTTCTCGGCCGTGGGCTGTGCCCTAATGCCAGCATAGGTGCGCTGTGCGCTTCTGAGAGCTACACTTTAGTCCTCACCTGCTGATCAGTCCTGGGGCGCGTTCTCATTCTGCAGATCATCGTAGCTGTCAAAGAGGAGCGCATGCCAGGCATTGAAGCCCGAGGCTCGGTAGGCAGCGGCGGGAGCTGTGCGTGCCAGAGGTGAAGTGAGGGTCTCAACCGGCAATCTGAACGCCATTGAGACCGGGAGGCAGAAAATATCCTGGCCTTCCCGAATCGACACTGAGCCTGTCTTGCGCAGGCGTGACATCGCCACCAAAAGTTCCACTGTATTGATGCGGGCTTGACCAGAGATCATGGCTGATATGAGGTCATGCCATACTCGGTTGACAGTGGCAAGTCGTCGGACTTGTTTTAGACGCGGCTGCGTGACCTCGTAGATAAGATGCATGCCAGTCGGGTCCAGTGTGTCCGGCGCAGAGGGGGGGACGTAATTGATGGAGAGGGCCGGCCAGTGGTTAAAGCACTCTTGGAGAAGTTTCAGGAGACCTGTTCTGGCTGCTGTCAGGCTGTCCGTACGAAACGCGTCCTCGGTTGGGGTGAGGCCTGGTCCTGTGAGGCTGGACTGGCTGCTCGAGCCGTCGATGGCTGTGCGATCCAGGTCTGTCAGCCGCAGGTAGAAGTCGAGGCTTAGAAGCATCGGCGTCAGGAAGTGGAAGATTCGCTGAACGAATGCGTCTTCCATCGTTGCAGGCTAGCGAATGGAGGGCAGAGCCAAACTTGAGAGCCTAAAAGGACTGAAGAATTGCAGTGACTTTGTTACTGCGATGCGTAGAAGCACGTGTGCTGTAGTTCCTGCTATAACTTCAACCGACAAGCAGAGATGGTCGGAGACTGTGTCTCAGCTCAGGAGGCTGTGCCATTCGAACTAATCATCTGCTGTGCCTAGCGGAAGACGAAAACCCAGCTCTGTCAGGCGCTGTTGCAGCGTTGGTGAGAAACGAGAGACGCCTCTTACCGTGTAGGCCGCCAAAACGACACGAGTATGGGTTTCCCATGGTAGAGTTGCATGCCACAGCTCATCCGCCCGAAAGAGAAGGCTGAGACCTCGTAGGTCAAAACAGCTTCCCCGGGTCATCCCCTGCTGGTGCGGGATCTCCTGGTAGTCGCAGCCGTCGGGGTCTTCGATCCATAGGCCGCCCTGGTCGCAAATCGAAATCGGGATGAGCAGAGTGCCCAAGGCAGCATTGCGAGCATCTTTGTGCGGTGGGGACTGCACATCCACTAAGATTTCAAGCGAAGTCCACTGGTGACCTGGATGACATGAGCACACGAATGCGTTGAAGAGACGAGTGACGTTGGGATGGGAGACCGTCTCCTTGAGCAGGCCAGGGAGAACTCGGCAATAGGCCCCAACCCGAAAGCGCTGGACACATGAAGAGCCAGCCGCACTGGGAGAGTGCTCCCATCTGTCGTGGGCCTCGAAAGGTAGGTGCTGCAGAACCTGGCGGACCGAGGACCAGATGGAGAGACAGCGAGAAGTGAGACAGTTGCTAGCTATCTGCTCTGCCTTTGGCACCATGTGTAGTAGTCCTCCGTGTGGGATGGGATTGACCAAGCAGCCTTCCTCCATCCCGGAGCAGGGCATGGTAGTCATGGACTCGAGATACTTCTCGAATTGCTGCCACTGTAGGGGTGGGAGAGCTTTGTGTGCCCATGCCGTGATGTCATTGGATGGCCATGTTCCCGCTGCCGGCGGCAGAGACACGTGGGCCTCCGCACAGTACAACTTCAGCGCCGAAAGGGTGAGGTAGTCCTCCATGTAGTCTGCGAAGATCCCGGCGGGAAAGGAAACCTAGAGGACGAAATGTCTCTTATAATTCCCCGAAAGGTAACTAGTGAAAATGTGCGGCGCTGAATGTTTCTTAATTTCCTCTAGTACGACCGAAGATATATGACATTTTGGAATGCACTTTATTTTCCTTATTGATGACTCATGGACTGCGAAAACACGAAATGTCCTTTATTTTCCATCAATATATATATATATATAGGTATTAGTATACATATTTGGCATGACTTGACTTGCTTTGGCATGGCATGACTTGCTTGGCATGACTTGACTTGCTTTGGCATGGCATGACTTGCTTGCTGCTACTACTACTACTACTACTACTACTACTACTACTACTACTACTACTATTATACTATGTATTTTTGACATGGATTGACTTGCTTGGCATGGCCTGCAGGGTTTGTTGTGAGTGATGTAGGGAGGATGCATATGGACTCAGCAAGTGTCTGCTACAGCTACCCGGCTCACCAGCTATAGTCCTGCCACTTTAAAAGCCATGGACCAAGACGGGCAGGATCAGGCTCCGGAGCAGAGAAAATGGTATTGGGTGTGGGACGGTTCATGGACTCAGCGATGGCACAGTCTGTGGCGCTCATTGGAGTTATCCAGAGAGGAAGCACAGAAGGAAGCTGGTGAAACCCAGACACCCATGGACACCAGTGAGCCAAGCCAGCGGAAGCGGAAAAGAGCAGATTCCCCAAGGGAGCTTCGCTAAGGGTAGCCAATTAAATGCATGACGAACACCATTTTCCAGCCAGCTGGACAAATGATTGAGAGCAGATGCCATGAGGAAAATGATGCATGACTGCTGTATGCACATATACAGCAATGGATAGATGCTTTGCACGGTTTCACCATGTTGGGCTCAAAGCTGTGAGAAGAAACCTGGAACCTTCAACCTTAAACCCTACATCAGGGGTCCCTGTGTGCTAGTGTCTGCAGTACTAGGTTCTTTCTACCGAGTGCTGTGCTTGCCCTGCTTGAGTGTTGTGCTGGGACATGGCCCTCCATGCCGAAACGCCGGCTAGCCATCAAGGACGTCTTTGACAGTGCCCCGCTGTGTGTATGTCTTGCAGACTTGCATTGCAGCAGCAAGATCGCGACTCGATCCTGGCTCCTCTGCATCATCTAGGTCCAAGCATGTTAGCTCCCTTTGAGATCTTGCATGGGTCTATATGTAAAGCTGGAAGGCAGCGACAGGGTGCATAGTGCATGTTGGCATATAATTTCGTATCCTGTACACAGGCTTTCGGAGTGCAATGGCACTGCTCAAGGCCAACTCGGCCTGTAAGATGGCCTCGAATATGGGTCAGGGGGAGCATTCGGTCCTTGTGGGCCTGCTGTACAACAGCTACAAGCAGGAACTGCCCTTCTTCCGCCAGGCCTGGTTGTATGGATCACTATATACCATTACTAGCTACCACTACTGGCAGCACTACCACCGCCCAGGCGGGCTTTCAGGTGGTGAGCGACAAATCCGGCAAACTCTTGAAGTGCAAGGACCACTGCTCCAGAAAGGACGTCAAAGCAAATCCCCGGGTGGATTGGCAATATTAAGTCAAGAAAGTGTAGGAACCTATATGCATAATGGGTCAGCACGAGGCCCCTGAAAGCACTTAAGTGGATCCCCGCCTAGGTCGCAGTGGCCACTCTTCGTGGTTATGGCATGCAGGAACAGGGTCCAGATTTTAGATCTCGTATGTCAGCTTTCGTTATCGCCGAAGCCTTGCTGAAACTCTACCAGAAGAAGAAGCTGTTCCCCTCCGGCATGGAGTCCTCCAACCCTTTGGCCCAGAAATGGGCGATCAAGGTTGGTAGTGCAGCCCGCAAGCTAGCAACTGAACTGTATTAATTGATCTTGGCTTGCATGTTGACCTTGGCATGGCATGCTCTGCAGTGTTTCGTGTGTGTGTGTGTGGGTCTGTGTATGTAGCTGTGTCGGTTGCAAGGCCAGCACTCTGAGAATCCTCATGCGACGTGCAGATTCCAGCCATTGCTCAGAGATCAGGGACATGAAAAAGGAGTGCGAAGAGTTTTGGTGGAAACGAGAGGAGCTGCCAGCATGTTTCTGCGGCTCATTGATTTAGGGTTATTCCACTTGTAAACTTTTTCGCAGGATCTCTCAGATGGTGGAGAGTCCCAGGAATCCTCGTCGTCCTCGGGTGCCTTGGAGGACCTCATGAAGCTGACCCAGCAGAAGCCGGTTGAGGCCGAAACCAAGGTTTCGCAGGATCGTTTGAAGTTCATGAAGGAGAAGAAGGCCGAGGGTTACAGTATGGAAAAAATCAATCGTGCTTGGATCAAGAAGCTGAGGGATGAGGAGGATAATGAAGCAGTTCAGGATGAGCCGTTCTACCCTTCCTCCCAGTACAAGCCGAAGAAGAAGAAGGGCTCGAAGAAGGACTCGAAGACCCCCGAGAAGAAGAAGCCCGAAGAGAAAAAAAAGAAGACCAGCAAAGCAAAGCCACCGGTTGAATCGTCCACGTATCAACCTGGAACCTTTAAAGATGCTCGCAATGCTTTTATGCAGAAGAAGAGGGCCAAAGGTTTCACGCACCTCGAGGCCTGTAAGGCATGGATGCTGTCCAATCGTCGAGCTAACATGCTCTCGGACCTCCCGGAGAACGAGCTTAAGAGGCGCAGATTCGCCTGATTCGTGTTTTTTTCGGGCTCCATGAAGCAAGCTTCAGGTTATATGAGCTTGAGTGATTTGAGATGGGTGCTGGCTGTTCTCCACGGAATGCTGGGGCTCTGGCATAAGGCCAGTTCTGGGCTTTTGTATCATAGCACTGCCTGGCTGGGGGCAAGGCTGGGTATCGCTGGCTATGCGATTGTAGTTCCTGTGTCCACGGGGTTTGCGAATCGCACAAGAAAAAATAGTCCACTTGGCATGGCATGACTTGTTGCATGAACTGTGCTTGCAAGCGCCGATTCTGTGAATTGGGCACACATGTGTGATTGCATGCATGGTGCAGGGCAGGAGCTGTCAACTCTAAACCTCCTCGCATTCCCAAACCCTCGGGCCCTTAAACCCTACAACTTTTAATAGCCAGTACCCCAGAATCCCAATCCGAGTATAGCTTCTTGCTTCGACTACGACGTCGAGGATGAAGGACTGCATTCGTGGGGCACTAGATCTGTTCAGATTTCGAGCGGTTTTGCAGAGGACATCGGAGCACTGCAGGAAGGCCGCTGTCGTGGTAGAGTCGCTAGAGTTTGGAATATAGGTGTGTTAAGTTTCACCCAGCCAGGTACTTGGATCGACCCGAGCTGGTTTGGTGGGTCCGGCTCTCATTGCATCCGTTCTTGGTATCGAAGCCTGAGCATTGGTGCATGGCTTGGCATGCATGTTGTCGGCATGATGAAGTTTGGCTGGCGAGCTTTATGTTGGTCGATACATGTTGGCATGAACTTGTTAGCACTTTGCAGCTGGGTATATAAATATTGCCATGATATGAGCAATCATTATTGATCAAAGCATGAACATGTTCAGCTCATGTCAACTTGCACCATGCCATGCCATCACTTTTTGCCTGGTTTGTGTTCGAGGGGTCGAGGGGCTACTTTTCGGGTTTAGATCACTATACTAACTATACATTAAATAGTCGATTCGAGGACACAACCTATGAACCCTAAACCCTTATAAGGGTTTAGGTATAATGTCCGAGTTTAAGCGCCGAGACCCCTAGATAGCACAGCCATGCCGTCCGAAGGGCATGCCGATCAATGGCCTAGCCACCTGCGGTTCCCTCCACCGCCTAAGCTTTCGTCGACCAGACCTTCGACAGCGATCCTGCCACCGCGGCCCCCGCCAGTGCCGGTGGTCGACTTGGCATCGATCCCGAAACCTCCGCCGGTGCCTCCTCGACGTCCCCTTATGGTACCGCCTCCTGCTAGGCCTCTAGCCCCTGCAGACTTTAAGGCCAGGCCGCCAAAACTTCGCATGAGCATGAGTTGCCTTGCTTGATTTCTTGTGTTTGCAGGTGGCAGCTACAGCAGCTGCCGTGGAGCCCATGGGCAAGGCTATGTGTCTTTTGCAAAAAAAACCAATACCCTAAATAGACCGCGACAACCCAAACCTCACATGGTATTGGCATGCTTGGGCTTGGATTGGTATTGAGCTTGCTAGGCAGATGGTATGCCTCCCGGGGTTCTGCCGAAGCCTGCAGAGCTCGTGAATCCCGGGCCGGAGGCTGTGTGTTTTGGTGTATAAACACCATGGGCCCTAAAATAAACCGCCACCCGAAATAACCCAATGATTGTCTTGACCTGCTTGGATTGGATTGATATATTGCGCAGGCACTGCCGAAGCTTGCACCGAAGACTCCGCCGATGCCTCCGCCGATGCATTTATATGGCTTTGGGCCTGCACCGTCGTCGCCGCCTCCACTGCCTCCGCCTGCAACTGAGCCCCCCGAGCTCGATGCTGCAAGCTCTGTGGAGTCCTTGTCGTCAGAGGCAGACCACATGTATCTAGAGGTATTCAGGGTTTAGGGTTTATAGGGTTTGGGGTTTATAGGCTTTATAGCTCCTTAACTTGCAGTTGTCGTGTTTTGCCTTGGCTTGATTTGTTGCAGGCCGCTGCATGTGCCGCCGATGACTATGAGGATTTTGGGGCCTCGGAGCCCTCGAGCCCAGAGGCAAGCCTAGAGGCAACTTCAGCGGCATGTGCAGAGCAGAGCGAGAGCGAGGCCTCGATCACCTCGAGTACGCTGAGACGGCAGTTTCAGCAGATGAGGCAGCAGATCGAGAAGGAGGAGCAGGCTGTGCAGGCCGAGGGATCGAGGCGATCACGATCGAGATCGGGGCGATCGAGATCGAGGCGATCGAGATCGGGGCGATCGAGATCGAGGCGATCGAGATCAAGACGATCGAGATCAAGGCGATCGAGATCGAGGCGATCGAGATCAAGGCGATCGAGATCGAGGCGGCGATCGAGATCGAGGCGGCGATCGAGATCAAGGCGGCGATCGAGATCGAGGCGATCCCGGAGGCGATCGAGATCGAGGCGATCCCGGAGGCGATCGAGATCGAGGAGGAGGAGGAGGGACAGTAGGTCTTAGGAGTGCGGGATTGGGGCTCCTGGGGCTATATAATATCTAGATATAATATATGCTCTCCCATTGCATGTGTGTGTGTGCTTCGGGCTGATGGGCCGGCCGGGTCGTATGTTAATAGAAAAGCAAAGCTATAGAGCTATAGTGCAAAACATGCAATCGCTCGCATGCACACCAATGGAGCCACATGATCCTGCACTTCAGATTTTGATCTGTGGCTGGATCGGCCAAACCTGTACAGGTACGTATCAGAGCCGTGTACACTATTGCAAGTTAATTGAAAAAGATTGGTCGGTTGCCATGCTTGCACATGATTGATTGTCTTGCAGCTTGTCTTGCATGCATGGTTTGTGCTTGCTTTGCATGGATTGGACCGCTTGCCCAGGTCGATGCGAGCTGGTCGTGGTGAGGATCTCAGCGAAGGTGTTTGTGATTGATTGGTTTGTTGGTTTGTCCTATAGGGATATTGGGTTGTGGTTGGGATTGGGACCCCTAACCCTGAACCCTAAACCCTGAACCCTAAACCTTGAACCCTATAAACCCTGAACCCTGAACCCTCAACCTCGCTTATATAATCAATTCGGGCTTTATAAATGCCTTAAGCAGAACACCCGCCCAGGTCGAAGCCAGTATGGTCTTGCTTCATATCGTGTTGTGCATGTCATGAATGTTTGGATGCATGCTTGTTTGCTTTGATCCCAGGTGATATCATCATGTGCAAGCTGATCAATTGGTGGTGCAGGGGCCTGACCCTAGATAGCGATGCCGCAGCTAGCTTTCTTTAACCCCCCGCATTCCCCGCAGTACGCACCGTAAATTCCCCGAACCCGCCCCGATACAAATGCCCTGCAAATTCATTCAAATGCCCCGTAAATTCCTACAAATGCCCTGCAAATTCATACAAATCGCCCTTTCTGGGTAATGCGCAGGAATGCACCATACGCTCTTCATTTTCCCGTACAATCGGCTAGTATCCCACATTATCTGAGTAGTGCGCCAGAATATATTGGATTGTCCATTATCCTCTCTATATTATATGAGCCTTTATACTATATAACTTGATATGAAATTATAATTATATAAACTATACAATATAAACCCTATAAGCCCTTAAACCTTAATAACCCTAATATCGGTCTGCATCGAGTACAAAAGCCACGTGCTGCTTGCATTGCATGTCATGCATGAACCATGTCTTGAGCTTGGCATGTCTTGCTGTTGCATGTACGTTGCTGTGTATAGGTTTTTGGCTGCAGGCTTTTAAGTCGCTAGGTCGTAGCCCATCATAATGGAGAAAGAAATCAAAGCCTTAATGAAGACAGCAAAGCTGTCCTATGAGGAGGCTAAGTTTTGCCTCGAGCCGCCAAAGAAGGAGCCTCTAGACACGAATTGTACTAGCCGCATGCACATTGAATTGATCGGTATAATTGCCACCTAGGCCGAAGCTGTGGAAAGGTGCTTCGAAGCTGACACCTCCTAGGAGGGTCCGAGAAAAGTCAACCCCGGCGGGGGGCTCGGGGATCAAGCGATCTGCTGTAGATCGTGACGGTGCATGGGTATATGAAGGGCATGCTCATGAGAATCAAAAGAAGAAGAACAAGAAGCAAAAGCAACCCAAGGAGGAGGAGAAAGAGGAGGAGCATGATGCAGTGCCAGCAACAAGCAACAAAAAGTCCAAGAAGGCAAAGAAGGAGAAAGCAAAGGAAAATAAGGCTGCAAAGGTTTCCATTGATCAAATGGACACCCAGGAGTGGGATGCCGAGGATACGGGGCCATGGGCACAGGAGCTCGAATGGGATGATGAGGTGCAGGCCGAATGGGAGGCATGGCGAGAGGAATGCAGGCTCATCAAGATCAGTCAGCAGGAGGAAGACGAAGGCGACGTCGATGGAGAGGCTTGGGATCCGGAGGACTTCATTCCTGAGAGCGACTGGTATCACATGGTGGTACCTTCAAGTAAGTTGCCACTGTGGGGAGGGTTGAGAAGTGATTATGAGTCTTCGCACTCGTCTGATCAGCTCGAGGAGGTGCCGGAGAAAGTCGCCAAAGATCCCGTACCGTCAACCGCGAAGGAGGTGCCGGAGAAAGTCGCCGAAGATCCCGTACCGTCAACCGCGATGGTCCTGCATGAAAAGAAGGATGAGAAGATCACTTCGGCCACGCACCGCTCAAGCTGGAACAAGCTATCGCAGCTTGCGGAGAGCGGCGAGTTCCCATGCCTGGCTTCGGCCTGGTCTACTGCCGATAGAAAGAAAAAGAACGAGCTACTTCGGAAGTATGTGCTCTCCAAAGACCCCAATCAGGTCGAAAGCGAGCTGCAAGTCACGAGTACCCAAGGCACTGGTAGCAGAAAGGTCAGGGTGTGCTTGACCCTCCGCCAGATGAGAAAGAAGCCGTACTTCTTCCCCAAGGAGAAGTGTGAGTGGATCGCACAGAACAGAAAAGGCATCGAGGACGAAGACTTTCCAGGTGGTCCACTAAAGTATTGGGTCAATGTCATGATGGAAGCCGAAGACTACAAGAAGAACCAGCCCCTATAGCACGCATGGAGTTTGACATGTGAGTTGACATGTGTGTGATTATGTCCCCTAAACCCTAAGCCTCCTGAAAAGATCGTGACTTCCATAGGTCTTTTGGCGAACATTCCCTAATAACCCTAAACCATAAAAAGATCATCAATTCCATATGGTTTTTGGTATGTTCCCCACCATGCATGGTCGAGGTCCGAAGTCCGATCCCGCTCCAATATGGACATTCAGGAGGCGATGCAGGTCCACCTCGCGAACAAGCCTGCTTTCGGCAAGAAGTCTGATCGCACAGAGACGGTCGATGATGACGCTGACAGCGACGAAGAGCAGAAGCCCGAGCCGAAGCCCAATCGCGGGAAGAACAAGCCCTCGTCTACCCCCCAGCTGGCCTTGCCAGACAAGCCCTCGAATAAGCCCGGCGGTAAGAAGGCAAAGGTCAAGAAAATCAGTGTGTGGGATACCCCATGGGCCACCAAAGAAGAAAGAAAAGAGAAGTGGAGTTCGTGGCCTAGTGTTTGGGAGATTGCATGGTAGAATCGTTGTAGAGTTTTAAAAGCAACTTTTCGGGTCCCAGGCTTGTTATAATTAAGTTCAGGCAGCGAGCTCCGCAAGGAGTTGATCAGCGCCGAAGGCATCCGCCAAGATGCTCCCGAAAGGATTGAGCCAGGTGTCAAGGACTTTTGTTTGTTGCTTTGGCTTGCTTGCATGTGTATGTTTGTGGCATGGCATGGCATGGATCTTGATAAACCCGCTTTGACCCCACGCTTGAAACCTTAAGCCTTCCGCCTTAAGATCGTGTCCAGGATGCTTTCGAGAAAGCCACAGCAGACATGCGGTCCGCATTCCAGAAGTCGCTCGTGCATATGTACGATAGATATATAGCATATAGGAACGAGAGAGCCTCATGCACCGAGACTTAATTAATTATATGTAAGGCTGAAGCGAACACCTCTCGACGACATCGACAGCATTCGCGACGATTGCATTGAGGCGGTCATTCAGTTCAACATTGCACGAGGAAGCATGCGAGGAGCCATCACGGCCATGAAAAAGCAGTCCTGATCGATCGGCGAACCACTAGCAAGAGCTAGCATCCTGAAATTTTGACTTTTGCTTAGTTGTGGTGCACCGCACCGCTGCTGCGAATCGCGAACCGCAAAAAAGATCTTCAATCCCATATGTCCTTTGCCGTAAAAGATCGTAAGTTCCATATGGTTTTGGTACATTCCCCAAACCCAAAAACCTTAAAAATATTAGCAATTCCATATGTCTTTTGGCAAAAAAGATCGTAAGTTCCATATGGTTTTGGTTAATTCCCCAAACCCTATAACCTTAAAAGATTAGCAATTCCATATATATTAATTCCCTTAGACCTTAAAAAGCTTCAGAAATTCCTTTCAAGCCCACAGGTACTTGTTCGGACCATGTCAGTGATGCTGACAAAACGGCCAAGAAGTCCCACGCCCGGATGAGTATCGATCCATCTTTGTTGTATCTATTGGCATGCTTTGCTGCTAGGCTGCTTCAACAGGTTGCAGCCGGAAGATCCACGCTGACGGCTTCTGCAGAAGTCTTGGCCCACTTGGATTCGGATCTTTTGGGGTTTCTTGGTGGGGAACTTGCCATGGCATGTACGTTTAAATTGTCTTGATGCATGGATGGTTAAACATGTGCTTGATTTGCCTAGGGGGATTTCCGTCGAGACCTCTTCGAGATGATGAGCTTTTCGCAAAAGCCAAAAAGGCGAAGATGGCGATCCCCTGCTTGGCTCAGTATGTCGTCACGCCTGTGCATGTGCATGCTGGGCAGATCGAGTACCAGTCCTGGCCATATATAAGTCCGATAGAGTGGTTGGAAAAGTTGATGATGGACCATCGAGATGCCTTAGTACCAAGCCCCAGTGAGATAAAGGATTTCTGGAAAACGTGGCTCAAAGACCACCCCCTCGACGAATTCCACGACGACAGCTGGCCGCTGGAGAGAATCATACCGCTACAATTGTGGGGGGATGAGGGTACCCTGAGGTCTAACTCTTGGCTCCTGGTGACTTTGCAATCAGCCCTTGGCCCTCCTGATGTGCGAAGTCTGTCACAGGCGAGCAGGTACCCTCTTTTCTCTTTCCCCGTGGAAGGTTATGTGAAAGATCCCGACACCAATGTCAACATGTCGCTGGACATGTTGTTGGAAAAAATTTCCTCGGACTTCAACAAGCTGCTTAGCGAGGGCTTCACAACGAAGCATGGACATTTTTTTGCCAGGCTAGTAACGCTGAAGGGCGACTGGAAATGGCTAGTGCAGGCACTGAACCTGGTTAGATCGCCGAGCTCCGACATGATATGCCCATTTTGTCATGCCGGGAAAACGCACATGCTCTTCACGAATGTCCGAGAGGATGCCCCGTGGGCAAACACACTTTTCTCTTCTGCACCTTGGCAGGTGTTCCCTAGTATAATGCGGATCAAGTATTTTCGCCTGGAGATGGTTGTCTTCGACCTGATGCACGTTTGGCATTTGGGGTGTGGCAGAGATATCGCCGGCACGTGCATTAAGGAGCTCACGAAAGCCAAAATTTTTGTTGGTAGCAAGATCGGTGAGAGGCTCCAATCGGCATATCAATCCTTGAGATCCTGGGCTCGAGAACACAACAAAACATTGGCCATCAAAAGGTTTACGAAGGAGAATGTGCATTGGTACAGCGATGCCTGCCCCGAGCCTTGCACGATCTTAAGTAATTAATATCCCGTTGAGTTATTTTAGTTTCGTTCGGACTTGTCGCGATTGAAATTTCCTCTACGCATACGTGCGAACCGAGGGAATCCACTGCAAAGCTTCGGACACAGCTGTCATCACGGCATGGTTGGCATGGCTTTTCCAGAACTTGAATCATGACTTGGTGTGGCCACTACCTGAATTGCGAGAGATTGTGCAACATGCCGAGACCTGTATAGGTACCATGGTGCGAGCGGGTAGGTATTTCACCCACAACGAGTGGGTCGACGTCGTATCCTCGGGTCACTTGTTGGTTAAGCAGTGGTTTCGCTTGGCCAAGCAGGGTGTGGACAGGTCGCTTGTCTTTTTAGCAAAGGTAAGGCCGAAGGGGCATGCCTTGCAACACATGATCCAGTTTCTTGAGCTGTCGGAGTCTCGCGAGAACCCGGCCTTTTACAGCTGCTGGATGGACGAGGACAGTGCATGCACTGTAAGCCTGTAGCCCGAATTGCAAACATTCATGCTGCCAGGACTACGTGAAGAAGTTCCTGCGAGTCCAAAGAGTCTTGCACTACGGTAGCTGCAGTCTCACCATTTTGCAGAGAAGTCTCATCAACTGCAAGACCGCTTTCGAGGAACTAGGGTTCTGAAAATGTTGCAAGCTTGCTGCCTGCACCTTTTTTGCAAGTCAAGCCATGCCAATGTAGCAGTCTGCATGTGCCATGGCATGTTTCGATTTGTGTTGCAAGTTGTTACTGCTTGTCATGGCATGGATTGCTCTGTGTATTGGGTATATATAGAGTTTGCGATCTTAGGATAGATATATATATCTACTATATTCGCAGTCAAGGCATGCCAAAGCAACTCAAGCCATGCCCAGCGAGTCAAGCCATGTCAAAAATACATAGTAGTATAGCAGTAGTAGTAGTAGTAGTAGTAGTAGTAGTAGTAGTAGTAGTAGTAGTAGTAGTAGTAGTAGTAGTAGTAGTAGCATGCCAAAGCAACTAGTACTAGTACTAGTACTAATACTAGTACTAGTAGTACTAGTACTAGTACAAGTACTAGTAGCAGCAGTAGTAGTAATAGTATAGTCGTCGTCGTAGTAGTAGTAGTAGTAGTAGTAGTAGTAGTAGTAGTAGTAGTAGTAGTAATAGTAGTAGTAGTAGTAGTAGTAGCATGCCAAAGCAAGCCATGCCCAGCAAGTCAAGCCATGTCAAAAATACATAGTAGTATAGTAGTAGTAGTAGTAGTAGTAGTAGTAGTAGTAGTAGTAGTAGTATAGTAGTAGTAGTAGTAGTAGTAGTAGTAGTAGTAGTAGCAAGCCATGCCAAAGCGCCAAAGAATACAAATCAAGTCATGCATGGTATACCTTCTTACCACAAGGGACGAAGTGAAAATAAGCGACGCCGATAATTAGTTGAAGGCTAACAAACGAGCCAATATGAATTTAAACGACGCTGCACTTGAATGTTTCTTATATTCCTCAATATGATCGATATATTCCTCAAATGTCTCTTAAAAACCGAACCAATATGAATTTAGCTGTCTTTTTGACCACCGGGGTCTTTTTAGAGTGCGTTTCGTCCTCTAGGAATGGCCCGGATTGGGCAGTCATCTTCGCCAGCCATGTGCGCCCGCGCAAGTGGGGAGCCAGTAGCCGAGATTAAGCTGAGCTCAAGCAAACGGGAGCTGAAAAGTGCAGACAACTGCGCTCAAGGCATATGCGCAGGTGTTTTCTCGGGCTGAGGCCAGTGCTGTAGGCAGTAGGCGTTGGAACAGAGTCTGTGACTCAGGTTGATTTGGACTGTGTCCTATTCCCGCGACAAATTGGTTACAGTAACCGCGTGGCGGAGGCTGTGCCATATGCCGCTGAGTGGACTGTGTCCTGCGATTGAAGCCTAGTCCATTTCCGCCCAAATGCCCTGCAGCTCAGTAGCCGGTGTCGAGGGCGCTGGCTCGTTCGAGCTGGCAGCCGGAGGAGGTGGTGGAGGTGGAGGGGGCTCGAGAGCATTCTCCAGCATGAGGTAGCCATCCTGGTTGCTGTACTTTTGGTACGGCAGGACCTCCGTGTACATGGTCCGGATGTGGCTGCCCATGGTCCTGAGCCTGCAAGATAGGAAGAACCTAGCGTAAGCAGCAGATTCCTCCCAGCTTCCGGAGTCCAGAGAAGCCCGTGTGGGATCTTCTGGCCCGAAGAGCCCGGATACATTGGATTTTTGCTGCTTGGAGTAGGAGAAAACGGCGGTGGCCAGTCGGACGTTGCCGCTTTCATCATACAAGCCGGCTTGCACGGTGATCGAGGGATCGATGGCAGTCTCGTACCAGCTTCCTCCGGGAAAGGCAGATTCTGGCCATTTGGGTGGAGTGAGGCCAGCGAGATTCTCCCATTCTGCCAGCTCGACGCGAAGGTGCTTGGGGAGTTTCGGGGGCATCAGGAAACCCGACGCAGTGTCGCGCCAGCACTTGTTGCCCACGACTTCGACGGAGATCGTCTTGCTGAGCCTGTAGTAGTCGCCTCTGACGGTCCTGGTGGGTCGCTCCATGAGTTCGTGAGGTGGACGATGAAGCATTCCTCCCTGGCCGAGGGCACCGTAGCCCAAGCTGAGAGGATAAACACTTTCCCCCGCTGTGCCTCCGAAATCAATCAGGACATAGGTGGGAGGGTCGTAGCGCACCATGATGTTGCCCATGTGGATGTCCGCGTGGACCAGTTGGCTGGAATGCACTGCATTGAGGGCAGACCGGATGTCAGCGACGAGATTGACGACATGGTCCGTTGTCATGGAGGGGATATGGGCAGGGTACAGACGTGGCAGTAACAGCGTTGGGCCTTGCTGCCAGAAAGCCTCGATGATGGTGTTGATCGGCGGGAATCTCGATAATCTGCTAAACTCTCTTCTGGCCATGTACTCTTCCTGAGGCCTCGTGACTTTCTTGAGCACAAAGTTTGCAGCACTGGAATTGAAGACCGCGCTGGCGTATCCCTTTGCGATCTTCACGCCTAAGAGCTCTGGTGAGATGGCGGAAGTCACTTGGGGGTCAACCGGTCGTCGAAGTCCAGGCATATGGCTCCGACCAAGAGCCTCATGCACTCCATCAGGATATGGAGCACGATCCATCCCAGCGTGAGTGGGAGATATCGTCTGTGACGAATCCGTGCTGCACTGTGTGCTACCTGCCACTGGTAGCTTGAGCCCTGTGACCTAGTTGCAAAGGTTGAGTGCAAGTGCAGGAAAAACGCATGGCAGTGAGTTTTGCTCGCTGGTAGCCGGCTCCTCCGACTGTGCCTAGTTCGCTGAAGGTGCTTACGTAGCGTCCTGTTCTGGAGCCGCGTCAGTTCGTCGATGTTTAGGAGCTGGCGGTGTTGGAGGACGGGCCTTGCCAGAGGGCAAAGTGCATCGTTCAGCAGTCTGAGAGCTGGTAGAAGACGCCGAGCCAGGGTCTGTATAGAGTTGCGAGACCTTGCGCTTGAGAATCTCGTCCAGCTGATGTACCAGATTCAGGAAATGTGGGACTTGGTCAGGGCCCGGTAGGTCCGCAAACCGTGTGAGATCCATAGTGCTAAGGGCTCGAGCCAGGCTGGCACGCTCAGGAAATCAAGTGGAACGAAGTGATCTGCTCACGACAGGCTCCCTGCGTTTTGATGCGCAGCTGGAACTTTGTTGAAAGAATCAGCAGCCTTGCTAGTCACGCTGTACGTGAATGAAGAGTGCAAGACGGATCAGAACATCAGCTGTGCTGAGGAAGTTAGTGCACTGTGTGCTTCCACTAGGCCAAGCTCACGGACGGCCTCGAGCCTTGCGAGCCAGTCCTCCCGGCGCCTTGCGACCCAGGCGTTCAAAGCCATCATGGGAGTCAAAGAGGGAGGCGAGGAGGGAGAGGTAGGGCATGAGGTCAGAGTAGATGGCTACCCTGAAGTCGAGGATAACGTGCGTCTTGAGCTTGTTCGGCTTAGCAGAGCAGTGCACTATTTCCTGTGCCAGCTTGGTCTTGTCGGTAGTGATGTTGATCATGGAGTCCACCACCTTCAGGAGCTTGCCGTACTCCGTCTTGTCCACGTGTTCTGGAGGGTTGCCCTTGGTCAGTTCGTGGAGGAGAACTAGGGAGACCGCATTCGAGCATGATCCCTCGGGGTGAGGTTCTCCTTGGCGCAGCTTCTTCAAACCTCCCTGCCAGGATTTCACAGACGCAACTAATGCCTTCGAAAGTTGATGGTCTTGAGGTAGTTTGTACACCAGTGACAGCTGGTGTTGCAGCAGGCTCATTTGGTCGTCGTGCACAAGGAAGGCTTTGGTGAGCTCTTCCGGGCTCAGCGCCTGGATGGCACCCGATTGCGCTCGAGGCTGGGTGCCTTGCCCAAACCCTTGGATCGCACCAGGTCCTTTCTGCCTCGGGACTGATTTGCGGCGAGGCTGGTCTTGCTGCCTCGGCAGGGCAGCGGCCTTGGCCGCAGGCGAGAGTGACTCGAGTGGAGGCTCTTCAGAAAAATCCATTCCCGATGCGTCCTCATTGTCTGTACCGTTTCTGGAGCGTTTGTGCTCCGGACTCTTGACGGCGACAGGGGAAGCGGTCATGCCGGCCGAGTAGTCGGAGCGGAAGCTATACAAAAAGAGGGCGAGCTGATTGAGAGGAAAAAGTTTTGCGGTATGTGCATGTCCGCGTGCGCGCATGACGCACTTGGCCTTGACGTGAGGTGGCCTATGCCAACTTTCAATTGACTATAGGCTTCTCACGCACGGGCGCCCCGCAGTGCCCTTGAGGACGAAGCTGGGACGGAATGCATCACCTAGCGATGATGCTAGCGAATTCGTTGCAAGAAAAGCATGTAGACATTCCTGGAGATGGACAGGTTCAAGGCCGCTGAGGCCTTTTCCGGAAACCTGTAGTCGTCAGAGATCCAAACCTGAGAGGTGGTATCCGCTGGGTCCTCTGGCCAAAAAGCGCGGTAGTGCCCAGAAGATAGGGAGTCCCCAAAATGGGCAACTCCTGCTATGACCTGATTGTGACGCTGAGTTCGAGCATCACTTGAGGTCCATACAGGCACCGTGGTGCGGCCTGACCAAAGACACGGCTGAGTGTTCTTGACTCCATCCTGCCAGCGGCAAATCACAATTGCTAGGAGTTCAGGTGACCAGACTAGCGCGCGGGAGAAGATCTGGGACTCCCACAGCCGTAAGCAAGTCGAGAGTGACAAAGGGCCAGGCGGGAGGGGAAGAAGGAGTGGGCTGACTCCCACATCTGAATCCTCAACCTCACCATCTGTACGACCCTGCCACTGGGTTTGTTGAAGGGAGCCGAAAGGCTTGGACTGCATATGCAGAAGCAGCTCTGAAACATCATGCTGTCTGCCGTCAAGTCGCCAGCCTGAGATTGCATGGCGAAATTCAAACAAGCCGAACAGGTTCAGTAATCTGGGGGCTCGCTCGTCGCCTAGATGGGATAGGACGGACTGGAAAGCACCTAGATCATACCCAAAGCTCGAGATCTGATGCAGAGCCTGGAATAGGGCATTGGCGTAACACGAGTTGGACGTGTTAGTCAGAGCGCGTTTGTGCACTCCTTCGGGTCTAATTTCCGCTTGTCCTGAGGACTGCGGATCGGACGCCTGCTTGTCTGCCGGGGTGTGACGAGCTGTGCTCGACTGATTGGAGGCTGTGCCATTCGACCGTGACTTAAAGAAGTGGGTCAGTGACCGTTCTTGGGGCTTGGAGGGGGGAGCAGTAACGGCTTCCTCTACCTCCGGTTGCCCTCGCAGCCACTGTGTGCTCACTTGATAAAGTACGGGGCATTGTTCCGGGTGCAGTCTACGATCATAGACCTTGTAACCGCAGAATGAACACGGGTGTCCCTTGGCAAGGTGAGGCGAGAAACCCTGACATATAGAGACTGCACGCTTGTGCAGCCGTGACCAGTCCTTAGGATGCGCCTGACGGAAGTGTGACTTGACTTTAGTGTGATCGAAAGTCCAGAAGTCACACGTGAGGCACCTATGGATCAGGACCCGGGCCTCCGCTGTCTTTGAGATCACCGCTATTCGATGTTGTGGGAGTTGGGCAATGTCCTGTCGCAGCTGGGACAGGGTCCTTACCTCAGGGTGACTGGAGTGTTTGTCAGTCACGTTCAGAGTTCGAAGCTTCTGGGGTTCCGGACATGCTCCTGACAACAAGTGGTCGCGAAGACCTTTCCATTGATGAAATTTGCGCATGCAAGCGGCACATTGCGGCATCCCATCTACCGCGTGGAGTTGTCGATCGAAGCTTGATGGCACAAATCGGTCAATGCTGGCTGGATGCACTCTCGACTTGTGTAAATGTAACCCGTTTGCTGTCTCGAAAGAGGCATCGCAGAGTGTGCATGCATGTAGGGCTACAGGGTGCTCAACTGTTTCAGGGAG